TTCAAGTCCAAAATGGCAATGTTCCTGCTGAAATAAAATTCCCAAGACTCGGTGGGCCTCCAGTGTGCTGGGGAATTCACTCCAGGAAAGATGTTCCTTAACTTCTGATACTATGTATCCATTCCTCTACTGACCTTACACTCCGAGAACTCCAGGGCTTCACAAAGTCTACCAGGACATTTTCGCACTGAGGGAAAGTTCCCTTCTGTCTTTCTTTTCTCTAGAGAACAATGTCCGATTCTGATGCAGCTCTCGGAAACTTATTTTCTACTTATTACATACTTATTAACATGTTATAAGTCCTTCCACTTTTCACACTAACAAAAATAAAAATTAAAAGTTATTGTTCCTTGCTTTAAGAGTATATTAACTAGGGGCTGGAGATTTAGCTCAGCGGCGTAAGTGCCTGTCTTACAAACAGGCAGTTGTGAGTTCGATCCCTGGTACCGATAAAAAAAAAAAAAAAAAAAAAAAAGAGTATATTAACTCATAAATATTTCCATATGCTTTTTAATGACTTCACGATATTTTTACATGTCAGTACCAGAAAATATATACATAATACATACATATATATATATACATATATATATTTGCTAAGATAATTATATTGCTAATTTCTACTAGTCCATAATTTCAAATTTTTTGCTCATACTTTAACTAAGCAAGGTTTTTTAAAGATAATTTTTAACATATATTTGCAATATATTACCTTATGTAATTTTTGTTTCTTTCAGATAACTATTATTCTCATATTACACATGAGTATTTCAAAAAGTAGAGAGGGAAATTATATCTGATTCTAGCATGGGAATATCCAGGCCCAAACCCAACAACTCGAACCCATTTCTGTTCAGTTTCAGCCCCATGAGTTATTTATTTCAACAGAACGTTGCACCCTGCTTTTGAATTTCCGTCACTCTTTCAATACTCACTTTATATTTTGCATAATTTCACAGGTAAAGGAGAACTCTTCCTTTGGGAAAATGTGATTGATCTATGGTAAAAATCCAAAGTGGTGAGCATCCCTCTGTTGTGAGTTAAACATTATCCGGCAGGCTGAGGACACGGAGAAATAAATAGTGCACTTTCAACACTGATGTCATGAATGAGTGAAATGCTTCAGCTGCATAATTTAAAAACAAGGGGAAGTGTCCTATACCCCTCCCGCAAACTGAAACACATAGTTTGATGTTGAAATCCTATTAGTCTCCATTATTAACAGCTATTTCCCTCCATGCTCTTTACAAACAACAAATAGAGGAGAATAGACACTTGGTTCTCTTTCAACAATATTCAGGTCTCTGAAATTCTTGTTGTAATAAAATCATCTGCATGAATTGTAAATAACCTACAAACAGTCTCCAAAACTTCTGTGATAATATACATCAACAGAGAAAATTAGTGAATTAAATTAAATCTGAAATATGAGTTACAAAACTCACTATTGTAAGTGGAGGGATTTGGAAAGCCTGCATTTCTTGAGTCTGCGCTTCGGTGGTAGTTTCCTCTGGGCTGTCTGAGCTCACGGCCCCTACTCTTCACCAAGGAGGAGGGCAAAGCGGAAACCTGTGTCCTTACTGACAGTACTGTCTGCTGGCTCTGCCACCCCATTCACAGTGCTTTGACGAAGCTGTCTTTACCTGACCTGAGCTTGAGCCAAGAAGCTTCTCTCCAAGATTTTGAAGTCTCGCAGGTGGAGAGGCTCAGTCTGCAGCCTCAGAGCATGCAGGGCCTGGGAGAGCTGCCCTGGTACACTGACTGAGCTACCGTCAGCTGAATCTTCCTTTTCATGGATTTCAAGTATTTGACTGTTTATAGTTTTAATCATGTTCTCATCTGTCCCCTTTTTGGGTGTTGTTATTTAATCAAAGCACCAATTTGTTCCTTTATTTAAATAAATAGCCGATATGATGTTGAGTTTCACTATGATTAATCCAGTTTCAGGCAGAGGAATTCCTCAGGAAAACACAACAGGATCCCGCCCTTGTTGAAGCGGCGGTCCTGAGAAAGACTGGTTGTAAGAAGAAAATGAACAGACGTTACAGCTGCACCTGAAGCTCAGTTCTAGGAGAAAAATCAGAGTAACATAGAAAGAGAAGAAGGTGGGCAGGAAAGCTGGGTGAGAGTGAGAAGGAAAACCTTTCCCTGGGGAGGGACTTTCTCCTACCTACTGGATGTGAGGAGAGGGAACTTCGACCTCAAGAACTTCAGCAGAAAATGTTCAGCAACCTCCAGAGAGAATGGCTCTGACAAGAGGGTCTGATGGAGCAGTGATGGAAGGGAGACACGGCAGGACAGAAAACAGGCAAAACAGCGACCACACAGCACATTACAACACACAGGAGTTCACTACCTGTGAGAGATCCCTCTCTATCTCACTATATGCTTTTTTCCCAATTTCTTTATGGAAAAAATAAAACAGAATTTTATAACAAGATAATAAGAGAATAACAATCATAATTATATAATATACTGTGAACAAAACAGTTTTATAAAACTTTTTAGACAGCCAACAAATACGATTTATGATTTTTGGAAGCCTAGATGAAACCATAACTTACATCTTGGACTGTTCGCCACTTTATCTTTTAAAACTGTGTATTTATAGTGTAAGCATGTGACTTCTGTTGAGTATTCATTGTGTACCTAACGCAATTCCAGGGCTTCCTGCACTGGGAATTAGCTATGAATGTCAGTCCACTGGATAAAACCCTAAAAGAAGAATTACTGGATCAGAGGGTCAGCAGTTTTAATAAATATTGTCAAAATGTCCTCCAAGAAAAGCAATCGTATCCTAACTGTTGAAATTTGCATGAATCACTTACTTTATTGATTTAAAAATTAAGACTGAACATTAGTCTGCTGGTGCACTTGAAACTTAAAGCCACACAGCAATGGTTACACATGTTTGTTCTACCTATGCTAATTTTGCTTGCTTGTTCTCCATGTGCTACTTTATTTTTCATTATGTTTTTATTTAAATATTAAACTTGAGACATTCCTGGATTATCACTATTACAAGGTAACAATATTTTTGTCTTTTTTCTTTTATCTAATAATTTAGTCATAAATTATTTTTTATGGAAGGCAATAATATAATATTTAATCTTGTGTGTTTGATTTGGGTCACTTAGCATTGTGGTTTCAAGATGAATCCTTTTCCTACAAAGGTTTATCTTTTGCTTTAGCAAAATAGTACTCCAGTGTATATAAATACCAGGATTTTCTTTATTTATTCATTTGTTGATGGACATATAGGCTGTTTCTAAGATTTAGCAATTTTGAGTTGGGCTTCTATAAATGTGGATATGCATATTTTTGATGAGGTTGTTCAAAAGACCAAAAAAACCAAAAATATTATATTTCCATGTAAATCTGCTGGCTTTGTTTTGTTTTTGTGTTTTTGAGACATGTTCTCACCATGCAGCTGAGACTGGCCTTGGGCTCAATTTGCAGTCCCGCTGCTCATGAAGTTGCAAATAATTCTCCTGCCTCAGCCTCCCAACTACTAGGATTACAGGAATGTGCTACCGTGCCCAGCCATACAAATCCTTTAAAACAGGGATTCATTTTCCTGATGGTAATAATGTAACATAGCTGATCTGCCCCTAATCAGCAATATGCTTCAATATATTTCCATTAAATAGTTTGAACTTACCTGATACGTTTCTTTTTACCTCCAGTTTATGATCTTTTGCTAAGAGTTTATCAAATGCTAGATTGTTTCTCTGAATTATATTTAGCCAACCCAACCTCCTCATTACCATATCAGTTACAATCTCTCAGAGACAGCAAGATTTGTCTACCCCAGCAAAACTCTGAACTCACTGTATCTGAATTCATACTCAAGATAGTAGGACTATACTACTTTATCTCCCAGTGTCTAGCACCATAGGTTGAATATTAACTGGATGCATTTAGAGATGTCTTTGTTGCAAAGAAAGACTTTTTCCATTTAGCACAATGCCTTCTCTGAGCCAAAGAAACAGGGAAATTTGAACAGTGAATGAATTAATATAACAGGTATGCACTACTTAAAGTGCTTCTGCTATTATAATAGGCAAAATCAAATACAAACTTTTTAAAAGCCTGATTAAGAAATACATGAAAAGTCCAAGAAAAATTGAGGCACTAAGTGATAATCAATCATAGATCGACCAAATTTAAGCACTAGGACGTCTTTGTCGTATAAGGGAGCATTGTTTATAAAACTCCCCTGCTGTAATCAGCTTACATCTGGAAATGCTAGTTTATGGGAGGAGATGGTAAAGGATAGTTATGTCTTTTATGCTGTTTAAACTCCGCTAAATGCCTTTTTTATATGGAAGATGGTAAATATAAATTAGGTTACTCATTTTGAAATAGACTATCTTTTATTCCTCACTTCATACATGAAAAATAATAGAAGAATGAAAATGTATCTTCTTTTACTTTCCTGTCTTGCATGGCTTGATGGAAAATGCATCCCTTTGTGTCTGATTAGAGATCTTTGCAGTGCTTTCTCTCTTGGTTTTGCCATCATTGTGAAATATTAAAGTTCCCCAAGATAGAACGTACTCATTTACATGAGGATGAAATGATGTTATTTTCAGTGATGATCTCTGACCTGCTGTGAGCTCTTCTACAAGCTCTATGTAGACTCCTTTCTTTTTTTTTTCCAAAGATATATATGTATTCTGAGTTCCAGTCTGACATCTGGCAAGATTGAGGTGGATATATTTCCAAGTCATTGCAAATCCTGTCTGGTATACTTAATTTTAATCTTCTTTCAACCATTTCTGCTATAAGAATTTAGTGGAAATCTTAATCAAGTGGGAAAAAGTTGAAGATAATAATAAAATGCATAATATTTCCCTAAGACAACTGCCCACTGACCAAAGGAACATGCTTTTAACAAAAGAAATCACAGATAAGTCTACATGAATTCTCATATATTACTCAACTCCCCCTGACTGGGAACAAATACCTGACTTTCAAAACAAAAGAGAGATGCTTACTTGGTTTAAGATTTAGGGGATTCAGTCCATGGGTGGTTAATTCAAAGGCAAATATGTCATGGCAGCAAGGTATGGGAGAGGCAACCTGCTTAGTTCGTCTCGGCCAGGCATAGAAACAGGACCAGAGAAGAAGCTGCAAGAGACGAAATATATACACCTGTCATGGCTCTGCGAACCATCCAGACATAGGAGAGAGGTGCATTATGTATCCCTCAGGTGGTTCCCAAGACAATCAAATTGACAAATTTAACAGTTGCATCCCATCCCCCATCAACATGACTCACAAATATGTCTACCTAAACCATAAATCTCCAGGTAAACACAAGAATAAGCTAACAGTTTCACCCAACATGATATGACAGTCTTGTGTACAATTGAAAATCTTACAATTCCTTCTCCAAATCCCAGCAGTTCCAGTATTGCTCAAAAGTTCCAAATCTATGTCCCTTTTGAGACACAAGGCACATTCCCAGTTGTAAAACCCTGTGAAAATTAAAAATAAATTAAAGAAAAACAAACTGCGTACTCCCAAGACCCAGTGTTATGGGTTAAACATTTCTCACTCCGAAAAGGAGGGAGATGGTGAGAAGAAAGACTCAGACCAGAAGCAGACTAAAAGTCAGGAAGATCACAACAAGATCTGCAGCACCGCATCTGCCTCTGGGGCATGTGGTATTGAGAGATGGGTTCAACAGGCTTGGACAGGGCCACCCCTAAGTCTCACCATTGCATCATAAAGGACCTCACTGTTAGCTCATAGGCACTGCTAAGACCTGAGATTTCACCACTACCAGCCCGTGATGTTGTCACCTTGGAATTCCTGAGTTCACCACGGCACCTCCGCCTTCCTTCCCATATTGTGGCACATTCACCCCTCAGTCACACTGCCTGGCCATGCCAGTCTTATTCTGCTAACAGACAGGGGCCCCAGATGCCACAATGCTTGTGCTGTGTACACCAGTGAAGCTAACATCATGTGGACATTGCAAAGCCAAAGGGACAGGGCCTACGAACTTCACACCTCGTGGTCCTGAGCCTTCGAGGCTGCACGGGAAGTTACAGGCCTAAGTGTTTGTCCTGCTGGTGTCAGGCTTGTTTCAGTCCAAACTTTTTCTATCTCCTCCCTGTTCTTCCTTTTTGGAATAGGTATCTTACCCTGTGCCTATGTGTCCTGGGACTGTATATCTTGGCTTTGATTATTTTAAAAGAAACAACTAGTTTGCCTTGAGTCTCAACGTAGACATGAACTTTTAAAAAATATTGAGAATTGAAGGAAGATATTATTATGTCTTCAATTGAATGCTGGTCTCATTTGTTAGATGAACTTATTAACTTACTATTGTCTTTATTTGGAAACTGAGTAAAGTTTTAGGAAATTGAGGTATGCAGTAGAAGCAGCAGCCTGGGCTCTTTGGACCCAGGTGTGGCAGCCTCGGAGTCCCCGGGGGGCTGAGCACAGTGAAATGAGTCCTCGAGAACCAGTGCCTCTGAAGGCTTTCAGGAGTCACAGATTCACGGCTTTTTCACCAAATGAAAGGCTGACAATTCTGAACGTCTGAACTTGTGATAAGTGGCTTCTTGCTGATGTCTGAGATGCCCTCAGCGTAGCTTCCTCCTCTTTCCTGTACAAAATAATTCGATTTCTTTTCATGGTGCTAATGTTTTCACTGACTACATTTCCTTTGACTCCAACTTGATACGTGGTTACTTCCACACAAAAATTTAAGTTTTTCAAAAAATTATGCTCTATTTTTTGCCTCTCACTTTCAGTGTATTCTGGCTAACGTCAGCCAGCCATACCAGGAACATACCTCCAATGTGGAGCTCTCTTGAAATCACCTGCGTTAGATATACTAGTCCACAGCCTTTAATCCTGGTGCCATACAGTACCTCAGGATATGGGCGATGTGTGGACAAGTGTTTTGGGGGTGCACAGGATAATGTACGTGACCTGTTACATTGCTGTAACCTAGTGCCGGTGATCTTGATCCTGGCCTTGCTTGTCGACATTCCTGTCAGCATCCTGGCCCTCTGAGATCTGATCAGAATCCCCCTTCAGGCTCTCTTTACAGTATTTTAAGGCTTCACTTGCCCAAATCTGCTAACCTTCCCCAACGTGTTTCCACATACTAGTTTCAGCTGCTTCGGAACCACGTGGTCAGGGATTGTTAGAGTAACTGTCCCACTCCCTGTACCAGTGCCACTGTTGCTCAGCTCTCTTATCACAGCCACCTAACACCTGACATCAGTGACTTATTGGAGGAGAGGTTTATTCTGCCTTTGGTCTCAGAGGGTTCTATCTTTACTCAGTTGGCTTCAGAGCAGCCACAGCACCATGGGAGGGAGTAGGAGAACAAAACTGCTTAGTGCATGGTGGCTGGAAACAGAACAAGGGAAAAGCACCAAAGAGAAAGGAGGCTTGTACCCAGACCTGGACCCCGCCACCATGCTTCCATGACCCTGCCTCGCTACCCTTTAGGTTACATTGCTGACCTGCTAGGCAGCTCCCAGTCCAATCAAGCTGATGGCTAATTCTTAACTGCCACAGCCTGCATGTATGTCATTGCATTTGTGTACTTGTGTACATTAACAGAGGGGACTGATTGGAGCACGGTAAGGAGCAATAATATAATCATTTCCTCTGCTGTTAAATATGATGATTCAGATGTGTCTCACTGTTTCAATTAAATACATTGTCTTCTTCTGTGAAAAAATAATTATAAATATTTGCAAGTGCTTTGCCCTTATTAACTTTTTACACAGTAGAGGCTAGATCCAACTATAATTAATAGTTGCAAATATTTTTTCTTTGAAGGATAAATGATGTACCATGTCAACTCAGAACAATTGTCAGAGATTACAAGTCTCTCAAAAATGGTTTTATGTGATGAATTAAGTAAGCAAAGTTCTTTAGAGGCTATTCCGTATAGCTTTCACATGAAACTTACCTCATTCTGAACCGTTCAAAATTTTTTCTTTGGTATTTAATGCCATAATTGTCAAATTTGAAATTGTTCGAGAAATTTCAAATTTCATTTCTCTTCTTCACAAAATTTATTCCAGTTTGAATTTTCACAATTTGATTTTAAAATCAGGAAAATCCCAGTGTGGTTGTGCACATCTATAATCCTACCAACTAGAGGCTAAGGTGCTCACCCTGCAAGTTCCAGTCTAGCCTGGGCAACTTACTGACCTCAAAACACCCTAACCCCCAATAACAAATAAATAAAATGAGGGGCTGCATCCCAGAAAGACGGCTCTGAAATCCATCCCCAGTCCCACCAAATAACAACAACAAATATAGGGATGAATGCAGCATGGGAAGACGGAGGGATAATGGCATCTTACAATTCTTGATTAGGGGATGGTCATTGGAGATTAGGACTTTGCAAATTACCTTGGATACTTTCCAGTACAAAACATAGAGACCAAATCAATGGATTATCTCTTACCTGTCCTTTACGCATCACTCTTAACCAATTTTCAACTTCTATTTAAAATCGACATTAGTCTGTATATTTTATCTCCAAAATCAGAACAAAAAATAGTTTAAAGAATTACACTTTGATGACGTGAAATTTAATAATTCATATAGCATATCTTTAAAAACATATAGAGGTCATTTGATAAATGGAATATATTCAATTTACCTAGTTCACATTCTTTGAGGTGAGGAAAAGTGAGCTCTGTATTAAAGTAAAGACAATTTTTACAAGGAAAAGAAAAACTATAACAAAAATAAAATAATTATGGTTAGTTGCATTTGAAATCAACTTTCCAGTTTGAAATAATTAAAAGGACCTACGTAGTGTGTATGAGGTCATAAACTACAACTATTGTTATTTTGCAGGAGGCACAGACAAGCCCATGTAGAGAGGATGTTTTATCACATAATTAGCAAGTGCAGAAGCCAGGATTTGAACTTGAGCTAACTGGCTTCATACCTTCAGATTTAATGGCTTTGCTGTCATTTCCGTGGAGACCAACAACTAAATTTCTTCAGGAGAACTTCCCGAAAATCTCTCCCAAGAGGCCCGACCAGGACACACCGTGAGACAAGTGGGGAAATGCAGGGGCTCTGCTAGAAGAGAGGAGAAGGCAGGGGGCAGCAGGTGGGCACAGTGTGAGGAGGCCTCAGTGCTCCCTCCGGAGGGAGGATGGGGATGAAAAGAATGTGGGGAAATCACAAATGGGTCAAATCTGTTAGCACCCAGACTGCAGAGGATTGGAAACCTGTCTCCCCCGCCACCGCCTTCCTTCAGGGTGAAGGTTTGGGTCACACCCAAGGTAGGAGAGGAGCTTAAATAAAGGATGAAAAATGCGGGGCCTTCTTAAGCTTGCCACTAGCTGTACATGTGAACTTGAGTGTGTTACAAAATTTGTTTCATCTCATGATTCTAGTCCATCCAGCCCTAAGAGTTTATAATCTTGGTACAAGATTAAAATCTCAAAATATAAATAAAGAGAAAATACAAGATTGATAACGGAAAAGGGAGGTAGATCTTTTGCTACAGGGAAGGGCAGCAAGAGATGGAAGGAGAAAGCAGAGGGGAAGAGAGGGGATGAAAAATCATTCCGATGTGTAGTGGACGCGGGCCAGCTGCCCCGAGTAATGTCACCATGATGTACCACAAACGAGTAGTAATTAAATAAAAACTGAAGAAAGCACCAGAGAGGGTCTCCATGTTTTCTTCTAAAATCCGTGTTTTATTTTCTGTTACAAAAGCAGAAGGATTTTTCTGCTTTCTTAAAACCCTTTGAATTATTACTTACTGTAGTTTCAATTGCTGTATAGTCTGAAAATCCAGAATAACTAGCACACATTTGTTTAAATTTGCACAGTGGGTGGAAATAGCTTAAATCTTATTAACTAGTGATTTCCCCCCAAGGCATTTCAGTGGAAAAGAAGGTTGCTGCCAAGCATTGTCCAATACATTAAGTCTCCTTGGTCCCCTTAAAAAGATGAAGTGACTCTGGAACATAACATATTCCAAAATTCTGGGGGCTCATGAAGTGAAAACTTATGACTTGGGCTTTTATAAAATTTGAAAGGTCAGGAGGGTAAGCACATGGCTAGCTGTAGAATTTGTTGCACATTAAGCAGTGTTCAGATGAGCGAGGCAAAGTCCTGGACGCTGATGAGATTGTAAAGCACAATGACCCAGCATCACACCAAGGGTTAGACTCATGATACACACGCAGGTTATAGATCCCATTCATCACTGTTTTATTAGCAGACATAAACCTACAGGATGCAACACAATTAATATCCTGCACTGTAGTTTTTACTATTGTGCTTTTTTAACCTCGTTGTTCTATCTTGGTATTTTATTCTTCTAGAACAATATTACCAAGTTCAGGATAATCAAGTGACAGCTTAGCCATGCTGAATGATTTTCCACTAACTTCACTACTCATAGTAATAAGGTTTTATAAGTCCCATAAAGAATTTAGATACTCCATTCCAAGTACCTTCTGCTCTGTGAGTAATTTCACTGTCATCAGTTAGAGCTTCAGATTGCAGAGAATAGCACTTTATTTTTTTTATATCCATATAAAATTACTTAAGACAAATTACCTCCCTGAAAAACAAAAGTTAATTCTAAGAATGTGATCTAGGATATTATAGTTTCAGACTCTTTCTCAAATGAAATAAAAGGTAATGAAATTAGACACAAGTACCTTCCAGTCCTAAGGGAATGTTGG